TGAGGCGCCAGGTCCCCGACCGTGTCGTCGGACTTGCACATGCCGACGAGGACGGGGAAGCCAAAGACGAAGGACGTGAGGGGAGGACGGCCCGATCAGGCAGTATCGCCCCCCCCCGCCGCTGCGGACGCCGCCGCAGCCGCCGCAGCCGCCGACGACGTCGCGGCAGCGGCCTCACGACGAACTCGGGAGGCCGCTGCCGCGGGCTTCAGCGCGAATGCGCTCCAGCTGGGCCACGTGGTGTGCCCTGACCAACTGGGGGAAGGGCTTTTTGAGCAGCTGCTCGAACCACTCCACCGCAGCCTTGAGCCCCTCGGTCCCTGCTCCGCCCGCCGCGGCCGCCGCACCAGCAGCCGTCGCCGCAGGCTCCGCGAGAGCCGCACCAGCACGCGCACGACCAGGACGAGCAGGAAGAGCGACCGCGGCCGAAGGGACGGCAGGCCGCCCGCCGTCCGCCCACGAGTCGTCCTCCATGGCATCGCCGTCGTCGTCGCTCGCTCCACCGCCCGCGCCCGCTGCGCCAGCAACGCGGGGCGGGGCGCATCCGCGGCACGCCGCGCCGCGAGGCGGCGGCGTCGGCGCCTCCACCGCTCTGACTTCGCCGCGGAGGCGGCGGGCAGGGAAGCGGGCAGCGCGAGGGCTCCAGGAACATCATCAGCAGGCGCGGGTACCGCCGTCGGCATCGGCTCCTCGCCGCCAGCGAACAGCGTGGCGGATATGGCCGACCGCGCGACTGCAGCGGCCGTGCGCCGACACGCCCCAGCGAGCACCGCGGCCCGAACGGCGGCCTCCATGAGGGCCGCGCCTGGGGCCGAGGGAGCCCCTCTAGGCCCCGACATCCCGCAGCTGCGCCTCGCCAAGGAGGGGGCGCGCGCGGGCAAGGCCGTGCGATCGCTTGAGCCAAAATGAGGAGGAGTGGGAGGAGGAGGAGGAGGAGGAGGAGGAGGAGGAGGAGGGAGGAGGAAAGGAGGAGGAGGAGGAGGGAAAGGAGGAGGAGGAGGAGGAGGAGGAGGAGGAGGAGGAGAAGGAGGAGAAAGAAGAGGAAAAGGAGGAGGCGGCGCGCTACTCGGGGATCTACCGAGCCGGCAGAGGGCGGCGCACGGCAGAAGGGCTCGCCTGGCACCAAGGATCCTTCGGCCGAGTCAACTCGCAGACGGAACCTCGCCCAGCAAGGGGCGATGTCCAGCAGAGGGGCACGTCCTCCTCCTCCTCCTCCTCCTCCTCCTCCTCCTCTTCCTCCTCCTCCTCCTCTTCCTCCTCCTCCTCCTGCACTTCTTCCTCCTCCTCCTCCTCCTCGTTCTCTCCCTCCTGCTCCTCTCCCTCCTGCTCCTCCTTGTCCTTCTCCTCCTGCTGCTCTTCCTCCCCCTCCTCCTCCTCTTCCCCATCCTCCTCCTCCTCCTGGCACAAATGCTTCGATGCACATCGACAAACACTCACACTTAACTCGGATGAGCGGCTCGTCCAGCAGCGGGCGATGCGCAACTGAGGGACGCATCTGGCACCAAGGATTTGTTGTTGGTCAACTTGGGGAGGCGCCGCGTCCAGCAGAGGGCCATGGGCAGCAGTGGGACGCACCTAGCACCAATGACTCTTGCTTAATACACGATAGTGGTCAACGGCACAGGGGCGCGTCTAACACCAAGGACTCGGTTCTATAATCAACTTGGAGAGGGGCCCCGTCTAGCAAAGAAACGATGTGCAGCAGAGGGGCGCGTCTAGCACCAAGGATGCTTGTTTAACCAGCTTGGGGAGGGGCCTCGTTCAGCAGAGGGCGATGTGTAGTAGAGGGTCGCGTCGAGCGCCACGTTTCCTCTTGCTTTATTGATTTGGCGGCGGACCAGAGCGGCGCCCCACTGCTACACCTCTTCCGCTCCCAGCCCAGCCTGCCCGCAGCGGCAGTTAAAAACCCTCCACCTCGCGCGGCTGTATTGATTACGTGCAAGCGACTGTTGCTAAGCAGACTGCCCGCGAAAGGCCAAGATAGCCCAAAACGGCCCAAAATGAATTGCTGCACGTAAAAGGTGCAAGATGAACGGTACTGTGGTCGGACGTGGGACAGAAACAAAGCATCCTTCAAGAGCATGAGACCCTACGCCAGGCCAAACTGAAGAGCATTCGAGAGTGCCCTCCCCCAGGATGCACAATAACATCCGACAAAGACGAAAAACATTCGGGTACCCTCCCCGAACCGACCTCGACCTTCTACCTCGGCCCGACCGTATACCGATGGCTGTGCTGCACCGTGCACTTGCAACCTTGTGGGAACGGCGGGCGGGTCGGGTCGGTCGGGCGCTTGGCGGGCTCCTGAAACAGCAGGGCTGCTCTTTCACCGTTTCCGAAAATGTCTTGAACGTGAAAATGGAAAAACAAAGGCGACCTGAAGCAGCAACAAAACGGCTCCGGGATTGGAACCCGAGCAGGGACTCGTAAAATATAACAGTCGGATGCGCGCGGCGGAGACCTGACAAAAGTTAGATCGGGCATGTCCCCCTACAGGCGGGTTTTGGAAGAAAGCCTAGAACATAATCGAGCATTCCCAAGAATAGTCAAAAAACATGGAAACATCGTGCACGTAATATTATTTTATTATTTTTGAATTTTCCTCCTGTGGAGGCACATGCCCGACTTGAGACAGGTGCGAGAAGTGAGACCGTCTACAGCTCGGGGGGGCGCCCGCCCACCTCCCTGGGCCCCGCGACAAAAAGTTCGAGGCGTCAAGCAGTGCAGCGCCGGGGCGCCCGCGACATCAAAAAAATCACGGGTCTCAAACTCGAATCTGGATCTCTCTCGAATAGGGGCACGCGTGCGCCCCGCTGCGGCGAGAGCGCCAAATGGGGTCCCTCGCAGCCACTCTGGCACGCGGACCCGAACAGTCTGCACGATATACATGTATAGATATATGAGCATATGCCTACGTATGCATGTGTATGTATGTGTGCGTATGTACGTATGTACGTATGTGCGTGTGTACGTATGTACGCATGTATGTATGTATGTATGTATGTATGTATGTATGTATGTGTGTATGTATGTATGTATGTATGTATGTATATATGTATGCATATAACTGTGTGTATATGTGTATGCATGTATGCATGTATATATATGCATTTACTTATGTGAGTGTGTATGTATGTATGTATGCGCGTATGCTTGTATGACTGTATGTGTGTATGGATGTGGGCATGCATGTAAGCACGTATGCGAATGTGTATGCCTGTATGTTCGTATGTATGTATGACAGTATGTATGTATGTATGTATGTATGTACGTATGTATGTATATATGTATGTATGTACGTATGTATGTATGTATGTAGGTATGTATGCATGTATGTATGTATGCGTACGCATGTGTATACATATGTGTATAGATATGCATGTCTGCCTGCCTGTTTGTTTGTATGTGCATATATGCATGCATGCATGCAAGTATGTGTATGTATGTGTGTATGCATGTATGTGTGTGTGCGTGTATGTATACATGCATGCGTGCATACCTGGGTGTATGCATGTATGGATGTCTATATGTATGTACGTGTGTGTACGTGCGTAAATGTGTATGTGCGTATTATTGTATGTGTGTGGGGGTGCATGTGCGTACGTGTGTATGTATGTATGTAGGTGTACATGTATGTATGCACGTACGTGTGTAGGTGTGCCTGTTGGTATATATGCATGTGCATGTATGTGTATATGCATGCATGTGTGTTGGTTGTATTGTTTTGTTGTTTGTTTGGTTTGGGTATATGTATATGTATATATATATATATATATATATGGGTGTATGTATGACTATGTGTGTAGGGCAGTAGGTATGTTTGCATGTGTGTGCGCATGCATGGATGTACATGTGTAAATGTGTATCTGAGTGCTTGACGCATTTCGACACTGCGTGGGCCCTGCCGGGCGAGGCTGGACGAGTCGTCTTGTCAAATTGCTCGGACAACTGCGGTACAAGTTGAAATTTGAGCACCCAGCTCTTTTCGGTTGCGTAGTCCGCTGCCCCTCCCTTTTGCATCACACCCCTGTCAGCCTCCCCCATTCCGCCCGCATCCCACACCTCCTGCTTCCCTCGCCCACGTCCTCTTCTCCCCCCTCCCACCACCTCCTCCTCTCTCCCTGCCTCTCCCTCCTCACCCTGCTCCTTTCCACCGGTCGCAGGTGGGCGAGCCCTCGGCGATTCCACATCAGAGTGATGGCCCCCGAGCCGCCCAACCCGAGCACGCGAATGCTCTCCTGCTCGCCAAGCAGCGCTGCACGTTGCGTCCAACCCGCCCCCTCGGCCCCTGTCTTATGTTGCCCCAATCGTACTTACGGACCACATCCCAGAAATAATTTCGAGCACCCAGAAAAGTGTCGAAAGAGTGTCGAAACAATGTCGAAAGAGTGTCGCCCAGGGCCCGGCACGTGAAAACCCTCAAGTTTTAGGGGCGTTTCCCTGGCGCTCGAAATTCATTCTGGTGATCAAGGCTAAAGTAGGTTGGAACATCATAAGACTATTGAGCGATTGGGGGTATACGCCCCCCCCTTGAACTTCTCCCCCTCTTATCGGGGAGGCTTACGACTCGGGCTCGGGGGGGGTTGGCCTGACGGGCCCATCGTGAAAATGACGAGACCCAATATGGAATCTGACGCGAGCTCCCGCTGCAAACGTCCCACGAAGACTGGATCGTCAGAATCCAGGACGCGCTCGCCAAGAAGCGTCGACAAATACGAGATCCGGCATGCTCGAGTTCCACGTTTCCCGGATCTCACTTCGCCCAGCTACTTGCACCCTCCTAGTACGGCAGGTTCGTGTCGTGCCGACCCCAGCGTTGGTTTTTGACACCGCAGGGATCGTTCAACCTTGAACGATCGGCCGCTGCCGCAACGTCCGATCGTTCAACATCGATCGATTCTGGGTCGCCGGCGGCGTTCAACCTTGAACGTCCGCGCTGGGGTCGCCACTGGTCGACACGCCGCAAACCTACCGTAGGTTGGGACATCACAGCCCCTGTCCTTTGGAGTGTGCAGTCAGCTCCACGTCGGCGGCCGCCACCTCGGCAAGGCGGCGGCGGAGCGGGAGGCATCGACCCAGAGCCGCTGCCCAGGACCCCTCCTCCTGGCGAGGAGGAGGAGGGCCAGGAGGAGGAGGAGGAGGAAGAGGAGGAGGGGGAGGAGGAGGAGGAGCAGGAGGACGAGGAGGAGGAGGAGGAGGGGGAGGAGGAGGAGGAGGAGGGGGAGGAGGAGGAGGAGGAGGAGGAGGAGGAGGGGGAGGAGGACGACTGTCTGGGCCCGGGCTCCGAGCCGCGTCGGAGCACCGACCGCTCGGGAGCGGCCAAGAGGGGGTGTCCAAGAGGGGGGGTGCAAATCATAACCGGCGGCATGTGCGCGGCCCAGCGGGGGGGCCAGGGACGTAATGAAATAAGCAGAGGCGCCATGAAATCAGGGGAAATATCATGGCCCCCGCCACGATATCCACCCCCCCCTAGTCATCACCCCCCTCTTTGCCGCCCCCGATATCTGCGCGGACCTCCAAAAAATTGATGTCTGTGCAGGCTTCTCTGCGTCGATGTGTCGCCTGTCGTCGCCGCCGAAAGGCAGAGGGCCTTCGCGCCATCGTCGTCGCCGTCTCGGAGGGCTTCAGCTGAGCAGTCGGGGTTGCTTGGAGAGGACACGCGACGGGAAGCAAGACCCTTCTGAGGGCCACGTTGCCATAGGAATGTATAAGGCACGGGTCGCGAACTACAGGACTCAAGAATACCCTGAATTCTGCAGGATCCACCTACTAATCGGGATCGACTGTGTACACCCACCCACACCGATCCCGGCTGGGCCAGTCGAAGAAACAAGACCCTCCCGAGCGCCATGTTCCCATAGAAATGTAGAACGGGACGGATCGCGAACCACAGGACTCAAGAATACCCTGACTTGTGCAGGATGCACATACTAATCGGGCTCGATTGTCTACACCAACAGCGATCCTGGCTGGGCCAGTCGAAGAAACAAGACCCTTCCGAAGGACGCTTTGCCATAGGAGTGTATAAGGCACGGGTCGCGAACCGCAGGACTCCAGGGTATCCTGAATTTGGCAGGATCCACCTACAAAACAGGCTCGACTGTGTACACCAACAACGATCCTGGCTGGGCCAATCGAAGAAACAAGACCCTTCCGAGGGCCACGTTGCCGTAGGAATGTGCAAGGCACGGGTCGCGAACCACAGGACTCAAGGATACCCTGAATTTGGCAGGATGCACATACTAATCGGGCTCGACTGTCTACACCAACAACGATCCTGGCTGGGCCAGTCGAAGAAACACTACCCTTCCGAGGGCCGCGTTGGCATAGGAGTGTGCAAGGCACGGATCGCGAACCACAGGGCTCAAGGGTACCCTAAATTTGGCATTATCCACCTACTAATCAGGCTCGACTGTATACACACACACACATACACACACCGATCCTGGCTGGGCAAATCGAAGAAACAACACCCTTCCGCGGGCCACGTTGCCATAGGAATGTATAAGGCACGGGTCGCGAACCACAGGACTCAAGGATACCATGAATTTGGCAGTATCTACTTACTAATCAGGCTCGACTGAGTACACCCACACAGATCCTGGCCAAGCCAGTCGAAGAAACAAGGCCTTCCGAGGGCCACGTTGCCGTAGGAGTGTGCAAGGCACGGGTCGCGAACCACAGGACTCAAGGATACCCTGAATTGTGCAGGATGCACATACTAATCGGGCTCGACTGTCTACACCAACAACGATCCTGGCTGGGCCAGTCGAAGAACCAATACCCTTCCGAGGGCCGCTTTGCCATAGGAGTGTATAAGGCACGGGTCGCGAGCCACAGGACTCGAGGGTGCCCTGAATTTGGCAGGATGCACCTACCAATCGGGCTTGACTGTGTACACCCACACCAATCCTGGCTGGGCCAGTCCTGGGCCCAGGATGGGCCCAGCCAGGATACGTGCAGGCGTACAGGTGGTGTCCTCCGAGACGGCGATTGCGCCCGCGGCAGAAGGCGACTACAGGCGGCGGCGGCGGCGGCTTCCGACGATGACGGCGCGGTCGTCGCTGGGGGCCTCCATGCCGTACCTCGCGTCACGCGCCGCCAGCCGCAGCGGAGCCCGAGCGCCAGGCTGCGCCGTGAGCTCGGCGAGGTAGCCTCCCGCTGGTGCCCACGAGGAGGCGGGCGTTGCCTAAGAAGAGGATGTGTTGAGAACGACGCTGCGCTGCATGCTTATGGCATGTTGACAGTGTCAGAGAGGAATGGGAGGCGGAGGAGGAGGAGGAGGAGGAGGAGGAAGAGGAAAGGGAGAAGGAGGAGAAGGAGGCGGGGGGAGGGAGGGAGGGAGGGAGGGAGGGAGGGGGAGAAGGAGGAGGAGGAGGAATGCTATGGGAATGCTATGAGAGCGGACCTCTGTCCTACAAACCCCTGGGGCCGCAGGAGGAACACGAGCCTCCGCAACCCCAGGGCGACAGCCGCAGGAGGAACACGGGCCTCCGCAGCTGCAATAATTTTCAGCAGCCCCTGGGGCCGCAGGAGGAACACGAGCCTCCGCAACCCCAGGGCGACAGCCGCAGGAGGAACACGGGCCTCCGCAGCTGCACCGACCGACGTGCCGCAGGAGGAACACGAGCCTCCGCGGCACTCAAAACTCGGGCGGCTTTCCGACGGGGAGGCCGAGCTTCCAGAGGACCTCCTGCCGCTCGGCCTCGTCCAAGGCCATGAGCTCCTCGTTCAGCTCGGTAGCGGCATCGTCAAACTCGGCCTCCACACGGGCCAAGGCGTCCTTGGCCAGCTCCACGCTCAGAGCCGCCTGGTTCACGGCGTCGTGCTTCCTGGCGCACACGGCCATGGCGTCCCCAAGGCCAGGCTCCGCGCCAGCCGCATGGCCGCCAGCCACCTCGTCCCTCGGCATCGACTGCACCGCCTTCTGCTGCTCCTGCTCCTTGTCAGCGTCCTTGCCCTCATGTTCCGCGGCGGAGGTGGGCGCTTGCGTCTCCATCTGCAGCACCCTTTTCTTCGCGGCCACCGTCTTGAGGGAGTGGGCGCCCGTCTCCGCAAGGCTCTCCTGCTCCGTGAGCCCGTCGCCCGTGCTGCCAGCATCAGAGCCGGCGAGGTGGGACCGCACTTCCCTCGCCAATCCGACATCAGGATGCCCTTTGGCATTGCGAAGCTTACTCAGCCTCCCGACGCGGGAAGCAAGCTTCGGCGCCCCACGATCGCGCAATATGCTCTTGGCGTCCTGGACCGAGACGGGGTCCGTGAGGTCCATCGCGTCCTTGACCGCATCGAGGACCACCTCGAGCTGCACCAGCTCGCACCTCTTGCCGTAGCCGTCATCAGCGCCGTCCGCGCATGCTACCGATGCGCCTGCCGCCAAGCCCTGGGCGGCCCCGCGCGCTGCAGCCGCCACCACTGCGGCGGTGGCCTTGGTGCCACTCTGGCCACCCTGCCCAGCGAGTGCCGCCAAGGCCGCGCCAAATGCCGCCTGGGCGATCGGCAGCGCCACCAACCTCTCCAAGAGGCCATCCATCCCCATCGCACGAGGGAGAAAGGCCGCGCGAGCAGCCTGCCGCGACCAGCTCGACGCACGCCGAGCCTGAGCCAAAAATGGCTACGGAGGAGGAGGAGGAGGAGGAGGAACAGGAGGAGAAGGGCCAACACACCGATCACCGTACCACTCCTGGGTCGAGGGCCGCCGACGCCTCGGGAGACACGCCAACGCGGTACGGTGCACAATGCAAACGATTCGTCCGCGGAGGCGGCGGTCGAAACTGCTAGAGGACGCCAGCCGTGCCTTTGCTCGCGACCGATCGGTGCTCCTCAGAACGTGTGTTAGCGCCAAGGTGTGCTGGTCCATCGAAGCCCTCCAATACGACACGTAACGATGGCCGACACAGGCCGAACGGGGATTACACACATTGGGTTGACACACGGCCTGAGGATCATCGAACCGAGGCCCTGGCTGGCTCGGAGTGCTCCGAGAGAGCCTTGGAAGAACCCGCGGAGGCCATGCCGAACACGTCCGAAAGCCCTCCGGCCACCCTCCTCGGCAATTCAAAGAGGGCCCTGCGTAGAATTGCAGGCGGCCCTGAACAATAGAAGTTCAGCTTGGATGCACTTTCGTATCCATAGGGCCCCATCCTTCAATTCCCCATCTTCGACCCACCCCAACTCTGGACACCCCAGGTCTGTTGCGGGCGGCTGGTTGGCGGCGCGCACAGGGGGGTAGGGGGAGGGGGGGGAAGCTTCTTAGAAGGCGCGGGCCTTACATCTACATACAAGGCCCGCGTCTTCCAAGAACCAGCCTCCTTCTAAGAAGCCTCCCCCCCTCACCCTACCCCCTCTACGCGCGGCCGAGCTGGTCTGAAATCGCGACGGATTCGAGGATCCTCTGACCCGGGTCAATCCAGACCCGGGTCAGTCAGGCCTTGCAGAATCCTGCAAGATCCTGCAAGATCCTGCACCCAAGCCCGGGTCAATGCGAAGGACCCTGCAGGATCCTGCAGGATCTTGCAAGATCGGGCGCTCGGGCTGACCCCGTTTGCATTGACCCCCGTCTCAAGGCCCCCGACGGATGACCTTGCATATACTGCCCGGCGCTCGAGCTGACAACTTCCCCTCGACGACACGATGCGACCATCGAGCCCTGTCTGCAAGTTTCTCCCATCGTACTTAAGGACCACATAACAGAAATAATTTCGAGCACCCGTAGGAGTGTCGAAAGAGCGTCGAAACAATGTTGGACGAGTGTCTCCCAGGGCCCGGCACGTGAAAACCTTCCAGTTTCGGTACTTCCCTAGTGCTCGAAATTCTTTCTGGTGATCGACGCTACAGCCGGTTGGAACATCATACCCCTGTCTTCGTGACACGGGCTTGGCCGCCGGCTCTCCCTCGACGGCCTCCGCCCGAGTGGGCGAGCATCCGTGAAAGAGGCCATTGGCCCAAAACCTGGCGGACACCCCATATCCCCACTAGCTTTAGGTCGGGCATTTTCCCCTACAGGGGCATTTAGGACGAAAAATGACAAATGTCAGCAAATGCTCCCAAATAGTAAAAAATAATCAAAAAGATCGTCCCCAACTTATTTTTCTACTACTCTCGAAAAACTATCGTGTAGAGGGACAGGCCCGACTTACCATTAGGGCGTGTCCTCTTACACGCGGATCTTGGACGACAAATGCAACATTGTCAACCATGTGCAACACTTGTAAAACAATCCGCCGACTCCTTGGGGTCACGGCGTGTGAGATGATTGCCCCCCAAACCCCTTTCCCCCGGAAGCTGGGTCGGGCCAGTTTGGGGGGGGGGGGGGGGGCAAAGGTCTCATCAGGCCCGACGAGGCCCCAGAGGGTTCCAAGCAGACCCCACGACGGCCCAAGAGGCCCCCGAGATGCCCGAAGGTCGGCCCAAGACGCCCAGGATAGCACCAAAACGGCCCCAGAAGCCTCCCAGACGGCCCAGGAAGCCTCCGAGAGCATCCCCAAGAGGGGCCTCAAAAAGCCAAAATCGTCGAATATGGGAAGACGCATATTTTCATCATGCGCGACTGTTCGGCCTTCACGGCGCTGCCCCGGAATCCCCCCAAACCGCCCTCAAACGGCCCAAGGAGGGCTCGGAACGGCCAAGAGGGCGCCAAGACGGCCCAAAAGTGCCCAAAGTCGGGTGCGTGGGCGTGTGCGTGCGCGTGCGCGCGTGTGCGCGTGCGCGCGTGTGCGCGCGTGCGCGCGTGCGCGTGTGCGAGTGTGCGCGTGTGCGTGTGTGCGCGTGCGCGTGTGCGCGTGTGCGCGCGTGCGCGTGTGCGCGTGTGCGCGTGTGCGCGTGTGCGCGTGTGCGCGCGCGTGCGCGTGCGCGTGCGCGTGCGCGTGCGCGTGCGCGTGCGCGTGCGCGTGCGCGTGCCTGGTGCCTGGTGCCTGGTGCCTGGTGCCTGCGGCCATGGCGCAGGCGGGATCGCAGCCTGCACTTTGGCTGCGAGGACTACCGCAAGCCCCTCTCGCCCATCCCGTTTTGAAAATGAGGAATTCGAGGGGAGGGCGGCTCGGCTTGGTGATTGGGGGGCTGGGGGGAGCGTTATCCGAGAGAAACCGTTTCGAGCATCCAAAAGCCACGGGCCCCAATGAGGACTTCTGGACCCGCGCTAGAGTCGCCTGGCAGGCTCACCCGGACCGAGGGGCGAACGTTGCGTGGACAACCTCTCGCCTAGATGAGACCCCAGAGCTGCTGAATACTCCGGAGCAGGAGTTCGCAGCTGCGGAAAATGTCGCGACGGATATCTGGGCTGGAGTCGGGGCGGAGCTGGCGTGAGAGTTCGGGCTGGTGGTGGGGGGGGGGGGGGCCTGACGCGGGCAGAATCAATTAAATCGCGCACTTGGTGCGCAAAAGAGTGAGACGAGCGCTCGCGTTGGCCGCCTCGGCGCAGCCGGGAGAGCGCGGCAGCAGAGCGCCAACAGTCAAGCAGCTCACCAAGCAGGAGAAAATCGTAAAATCCTCGTCTCACCAGCTCGAGAAAGTCGGTAGCAAGTGGAGATGATCGCAGTGTGACTTGATTGTCCCAGGGGCCAGATTATTGCGTTTCTCGGTTTCTGCGCGTTCTGGTCCCCCTGGGAAAAGCGGCCTTGCGGCCCCTGAGTCCAAACCGATGGTTGGAATAGACCTCGAGATCCACCCGTCTCACTCGATCACGTTTGTTGTTCACTGGTTCCTTCCGATTTGCTCGCTGCGCGGGAAGTGCGCCACGGTGGGCTCGAGGCACCTGCAGAAAAAATGCGACGTCTCACCCCGAACGGGGCAGAGAATCTGCGCAGAATTGATATTGGTGCGTTTTCCTCGGCGGGCGGGCCCCCCAAGAGCCGTCAAGATGGCCGTGGCTCAGAAAGATGATTGTCGCGTCGTGTCGGCCCGCGAGGCCAGGGGGAGCGCGCTGCCTGAGCCTGCGGGGGCCCTAGACGAGCCTCCTGCCGCGGCCCGCGCCCGCAATGACGGGCAAGACCCATGTTCTTCGGTTCTTCAGGCAGGGCCATATTCCGTGCATGAGCGTCTCGTCTGCCTCCTTGCACCTGTCGCACAGCTTGCCTCCAGAAGGTGCCCTTGTTCTGCCGCCCGAGCATTGTGCCGCTGCCCGCCTGCGACCACCGCGGTGTTCAAGCTAATCATGTCTAGGCGGCCCTCCTCGAAGCGGCGCTGGCCTGCCCGAATTTGCCATGCTTCTACACCTTCCTCCAGACGTTATCCATTTTCATGCGCTGATGCCGATCGCCAAAGTTGCCCTCTTATATCGTGCTCGAAATCGCCCACTAGCTGCTGGGGGCGCCCTGTCTGCTCGAAGTTACCGTCCAAAGCCGACGGTATATCCCGCGTGTCTGTCATATCTTCGCCTTCCTTGACTGGCCGAGGCCGCGCAATTGCATGTGGAGCGTGCCAACCCACGTCCATCGGCGTAGCCCGTGCTGCTCCGACTGGCCCTCGTACTCCAAGCCGTCTCTTCTGTCCCAGCTTGACCAGTCTCGCGCGGATGAGCGGCCGCGCTGTGACATCCCTGGGGTGTATATCTGGGAACCACTGCCGCGTGTTGACCCACTCCTTGGCCACCGCCGCGCGCGCTGCAATTCCAGGGCCGCCCGTCCACATCTCCACCGCAAGCGTCGTCGCTGGGCATCTCCCGCGAGCCTTACCTCCTGCAACCGTCCTGCTTCTCTGCGAAGCCGTCGAAGCTCGCGCAGTGCCAGCCCGACCGCCTGGTGCCCGTATACCGCTTGCGGTGCCGCTCCCGCGCGCCATGATCCTTTGCTGTCTCTGGCCAGGGCCGCCAGTCGACGCAGTCTGACGATCTTCGCAAGGCGGTGATTGGCTCTCTTGCTTCGCCTTCGTCGTAGCTCTCCTCCTCCCTGCTGCCGCGTGCCCAGGCCCAGGTCGACCGCCTCCGTGACCGCCTGTGCAGGCATTCTCTGCCCCCTCATCTCCTTCGCCACCTTCTGCACATCTTTGTGGTGAGTGCCGATGTGGGCTGGTTTTCCTTAGATCGCCACCCTCTGCTCCCTGAGGCCGCCCGTGGTAATCTGGGCCACGTGCTTGATTCCATCGCCTACCGTTCGTCTGCTTCCTCCTTGACGTGCCACTGCATCGTCTACGAAAGTCCATAATGGTGCCTGCGGTGCTTGCCGGCGCGCTCGATCCAAGATTGGACGAAGGGATAATTCGGCCAATCCTACTCTTCTTGCCGAGGCTGCCACCAACGAACGCGCTGCCCAAATCGGCTCGCTGAGGATGTTCCGATCCTGTAGGAACATGGGACCGACGAGAACCGTAATGTCAAGCGCCGCCACTGCCGCTGGAAAGCCAACCTTGACCGATATCTGTCATACTATGACCAGTGACACTGTGTCGTAAAACTTCTCTGCGTCCAAGAGGAGCGTCATGGCCGAGGCCCCTAGTTCACCCCCAACCTCGTCAAGCACAGCTCGAAGCAGACCAACTCGTAGCGCCGAGCTTCCCCTCAGTGCCGTGTCCCAGTGCGCTGAGAGCGAATTGCCCCATCTTGCG